AAAACTCAACCGTGGTCTGGAATTGTTCTGGGACTAAGGGGAAGGCAATTGTGGGGACACGAAGATTAATTTGACCTAAAGTGTCTCTGCATTTATGTATCTAATTAGAGCTTTTTTGATCACACAGTTCCTGCTCTGATATGTAAATTATCTGCCAGGGTTAATGTCACCAGACAATCGCATTTTATTCTGAACTTCTTGCTTTGATACAACGTCCTAATATTTAGCTGAGCTTAGCCGCGTGAAGGGAGAGCAGGTGTGTGTGTGTGTGTGTGTGTGTGTGTGTGTGTGTGTGTGTGCGCGCGCGCGCATGCGCGTGTGCTATGGTGGGGAGGCAGCCCAGGGTCTGGGTTCTATTTCAAAATGAGAATCCGGGATGGCCTTGAGTCTTTCAGAAGAAATGCACAGGCACGAATCCAGGAAGTGAGAAAGAGAAGTGGGAAAACGGCAAACACAAACTTAGCTCAGGCTCTGCCCACAAGCTGGCGACAGGAGCTGGGGACACACCAGGGAGATTGAGCGAGGCTGCCGGGGCCGCAGTGCTCCGACATCAGCTGTTCCTGTTAGGAGAAACTGTTGCCCTTTCACAAACAGCTGTGTGCATGTGTGTGCATGCGTGTGTATCACAAGCAAAGTTTTGCAATAGATTAAAACTATTTTCAGGATAGAGAAGGGAATAAAAAGAAAGCATAAGCAAGTTAAACATACAGCTATTAATATTTATTAAATTAAAAGTTAAATAAAATTGAGAATGACAAACCACCATTGGGGTGACAGAGAGGTCCCTAGGGTGGTAAGGGGAGAACCTCTAGGACTGGACTGGATCACTGTTCTCAACAGGGGGTATCACCCCTCTAGAGGCAGAAATGGGGAGACAAACATGAATTTGGATATCCAATGGTTTGTTACCCACTGGAGGATGAACAGAAATACAGTACATCTATGGGGACTGAGGTTTACTTAATAATGGGAGGAAGACTAGAAAAATACCTGAAGTCTCCTTAGGTGTGGGCTGAAGCATGGGACTCAATGATTCCAATGGAAAGGTTTTGTTAACCACCAGTGGGTACGCTTAGAAATGAATTGCAAACAGGTGCACTATCACAGCAGAAGGAAAAGACTTTCCATGTTACCTAGCAAACAGCCAGTTGGAAATGTAAAAAGCAACAGCTGGCGTCTGAGACACCCATGGCTGATCAGTAGGTGAAGAGCTCAACTCTGCAGAACCTTACAGCCACGCTGATGGCCAGCCCTGGATGGACAGGGCAACGGCAGAGGGTAGAGTCTGGATTCCAGGGATCAGTGTACTCACTTTCTCCCCTCCCGAGCTGTTCTGGTCTGTTTGCATCTCCCCTCCTACTGTCCTCTCCTCTCATTCACTTTTACTACAGGCAGCAATTTTAATGAGTGAATGAAAAGAAAGCTAGAAACAGAACCACACACGGATATGAAAGGAATCACCATCAGCTGCACAATTTTAGTGTGGCATGTCAGTTAATGCACTAATATCAGTGAAATCAAATCACGTTACAAATAGGCTTCTGGCTTTCCTGAACCATGCATCTGGGATATGACTCATTCACCTGCATCTCTGGATCCTTTGCAAAATAATAGTGAAGCCAACTTCAAATATAGGATATAGTTGATGCTAGTCTTGTTCAGGCTTGGGAATGGCTTCTGGTCTCTGGGCCTCAAAATCCGGACTTTGCTTTTGGGTTGAGCTGGTGATGTTTCTTGGTGGCACCTTCAGTTAAGCAGGACAGCCCAGTGTGTACCCACAACTGTCTTAACCCTGGTTTCTGTCAAGGCCGTGCTAGAGGGAGGGAAAAGGTATGATTAGGGAACTTGTTTGCTGCTTGTATTAATTTAGTTATTCATAAGCTAACAACCTTGCAAGGGGAGCACTATCTTACCAACCCCGTGGTTAGGACTGTGAAATTCAGCCACAGAAAAGCTGAGTCACTTGTGCAAGATCACACAGCTACATAGCATTGTGATTTGAAGCCAGACTATTTTTAATGTGTCCTCAACCAACTTCCTGCATTTATTGATGTCTCTGAACTGAACAGATCAGTCTCAAAGAGTATTTGCCGGCATTTGTGTTGTCCTGGGTTCAATCCCCAGTACTGAAAAAGATATGGAGAAAAAAAAGATAAAATTGCTTTTAGTACACTATACTTTGGTTTGCATCTTACTTGAAGGGAGCAATGTGCCAGTCACCAAGTCCTGTGCAAGTTAATGCTTTGAGGCCATGTTCTGGCATGGCAATGGATTAATTAGCGGAGACTTGCTGCCCTCTGGTGATGAGAGTCAAATCCCATGCAACCATCTGTAGGCTCTGGGATGCACTTACTTCCTTTGGTCCAGTCTCATGGCCAGAGATGAACCCATTGGCTGTTTAAGTTGAAACTTACCTGCCAGTCTCCAGGCTGCTCTTATGACCTACCAGTAGTGACTGGTGAGGCTCAGAGACACACCTCCCGAGTCCTGCAGCTTACGGGATCGTGAATGTAGGAGAAAACATGAAGCTTTCCAAATAAATTCCAAGAACACTACAAAGACCCCTTCTGTGTCCTCAGGGAAACAATTCCATTTTCCTTAACCTGTCCTAGCAGCTTGGAACCATGTTTTTTTTTTTTTTTTTTTTTTTTTTTTTTTTTTTTTTGTCTTTTTCCTTTTTATCGGTACCAGGGATCGAACTCACGACTGCCTGCTTGCAGGGCAGGCGCTTATGCCGCTGAGCTAAATCTCCAGCCCGGAACCATGTTTTAATAGACTTGGCAGAAAAGTTAATCGCAGTGTGAACTGAAGGTTACAAACTCTACCAGAACAGAGGAAAATAAAACAAGCCAGAGGGCCTTTGCTCCAGGAATGGGTACGACGTTGGGCAGTTTACTTTTGCTCCCTTCAGACCAGTTTTCTTGCTGTCAGAGTCGGGGGCTGGACTGAGCGAGCTTGGAATCCTAGATACGTCAGGTATAGCATTCTGCCTTTGGTGAGATCTTTTTCCTGAAGGGTTTGCTTTTTCTTTTTCCATTCATACATACCCTAGTTAATAAGACGAGATACACATGTATATTTCTAGACATTAGTTTCCTCATCCATGAGATAATTTCTTGTTTACAAGGTAGTGGAAGTAGTTTCCATTTACCCAGTAGTAGTGGGCTCAGTTGGCCTGGTTTGTTTAGGCAAAGCAAAGGCACACACATATATCTACACAGTAGTCAAACCTACACAGTAATAATCACCTTATAGAGTACTACTTTATAACACACACTGATTTGTGGGTTTGTTAAGGTTTCCCTGGAGTTGTAGTTGCTACCAGTGCCAGTGTAGAGACATCCACATCTGTATGTGCGACAGTTCCTAGACACTGTAAAGGCTAAGAACCGAGAGAGTTGTTTTCCTCTTCAAAAAGAAAACTGATGGCTTTGTGCTGCACTGCTCTTTAATGTCTATCTGCTTCCAAACTATTTATTACACCCTTAACATGCCATGAAAAGACATGGCCTGAGTCTTTGTCTTGATAATCCCACTCCAAGGAAATAACTATATGGATATTTTTTATTCCACCAAAATGTTGTCTACAATAATCACCACTGTAAACATGAATGTCTGACAATTTGAACATGCTAAAGCAAATTCTCAAATGATCATTGCAAAAGACTATATAACAATGAGAGAAAGCATTTGATTACAAGAACTGCAAACATACTCTGTAATTGTAACTATGAAAAAGATGTCCAGGCAAGGCATGAAGGCTGATTTAAAAACATGAAAGAAGCTGCATTGATATTTTTATACACATTACTTAACAATTCCCTTTTACCACTGTGATACTGTTTGTACAATAAAAATAAGTGCACTGTGTATATGAGACAGAGGAAGAGCAAGAGAGAGAGAGAACAAAAGCAAGACAGAGAGAAAGTGAGAAATGGAGACAGAGAGAGAGACAGAAAATTTGAGATGTTTTGATATCATTGGCTCCCAAAGCATCTAAGTGAAAGCATCTAAGCATCAGGGTGAAAAATCAAAAGCTTGTTCACCATTACTGCCTTGTCTTATACTTTCCTATTGTTTGGGATCCTTTTGGTTACAGGCCACTTTTTCGGTGCTTACCGCCTCGAGAAGGACTAAGCTGGTCATGGCACAGCTCCTAGACTTCAGGTGGAGAGAATGGTGCTGGGATGGCCCTGGCCTGCAGTTCTGCTTCAAGGCTCTGTTTTTACCCATCTGGGTGGTAACACTTGGCTTCCCCACTGGCCACTTCTTGCATCAAAATTTCCCTCAGGAACCTGGGATAATGGCCATGTGTTAAGTAATTTCCGAATGCATTTTAGGCTCTGAAGAGTTTAGTTTTAGCTGCTTAATCATATCTGAGTGTGGGCCCTGGGAAGTGAGGTTCTCAGTGAGGTTTGCTCAGTTTGCATTTGGTTCCAAGCATCCTGCTTTGTGCTTTCAAGACAGACTTGCTGCCCTGGTTTGGCACTAGAGGGGGATTATTAGATAGCTACATGCCCCAGGCTAGCGGGAGGGTACATGATAGTGATCACCATGGCAGTCAGGACCACAAAGGGAAATGAGGTCACATCCTACAGGATTTCCCTCACAACTTCCTGGATTGCCTCCTAATAGGCTTCCTGCAAAATCATGGGTCCACCCAGCAGGCTTAGCTACAGAAGGCAGAGGACTCAGACAGCAGGACCTGCCATGAAGGGGTGAAACTAAGCCACCCGTGTGTTCTGACCCCAACCACTTCGATGCATAGAAGCTCCCTGTATGGATTCACAGCAGCTCAGGTGCTGCCTCTGCCATTTTTTGTCCCTTGGTAGGTGGAGAGGGCTGCAAAGCCTCAACCTGGGGATACCCTGGCCTTCCCCCAACAGGCTGTCCCCACAGCATGTTACCTAGAACCTGCGGTGCAGGATGGGGTTCATAGTGTGCTTACCTAGCCACATTCCCTAAAGAAAAAAAAAAAAAACCAGACCTGGGCCACTGAGTTGCATTTTCATCATTTTATTAACAAATGAGATGGCAAAAGAACAAGTTATTTAAAAATATCACCACCCCACCCCAACTGAGCATCTACCATGTGCCGGCCATGGTGGTGGGTGTCTGACTGCCATGCTTTGCTGGTGGAGTTTGAGACCAGTTCTCAGTGTATTCAGTTACCTCCCATGGCTCAGGGGCAGGAAAAGATTTCCCCTCTCAAGAGGCAAGGAGAGAAAAGCTTCCATTTGGATGCTAGGTCCCATTTGGAGCACACAGATGGTTTCTTCTTCAGGCTGGGGTGTCGGCCCAGGATGCAGGCTTCCAAGGAGACCAGCTGACACTGGACACAGCACACAGTAGGATCACAGCCTGAAGGCATCATCCATTCTCTTAGACCAGCTAAGAGGGCATCCTCTGATCTTCTTGAGCATGCAGCAAGACTCTAGGACTGACAACAAAGCCTCTGATGAAAAGCACTTGGCTGAATCCGATCCCCACTGTCTATACCTCAGTGTGTACAGCTGTGAAGTGGGAACAGTACCACCCCACCAGGAGCAAGAGGTGGGGGCATTTCAGGCACAACACTTCATGTTCATGGAGTACTTTCTTTCCAAGAAATGGAAGCACATCTTCAGCTCTTCCGTGAAGACATCAGAAACCAATGCTTTTGCTGGGCCTCAGGGCAGCATCTGCACAAGCTAAGATTAGTATCATCTGTCCTCCTCTGTCTTATCCCCTAGTTTTAGATTAAATAATTATGGCTATGCAATTAAGTCTCTTCACAGGAGAGAAAACATGTTACTGTTTGGCAGTAACCACAGAGGCTCATGAGACACACTCAGCTTCTGCAGAACCCTCATAGCTGCTTGGGAGGGGCAGCTGCCCGCTGGGTGTGTGCCAGGAGCTTGTTTGCTTGTAGGGCAGCAGGTTCCTGACAGTCCCCTTGCAGCAGCCTCCGAAGGGCATCCCATGCACCATCTGCAGAGTGGTGACTGATGCTGAGAGTCAGAGGGTGAAGGAAAGTCCTCGCCCCACTCAGGAAGGCCCTCTCAGAAACAGATGAGTCGCTTCTCCTCTTCGAAGGCTTTGGCCTCCTCTGGCTTTATCAAGTTTCCATTTAGACTGGAGAGAAAGAGAAAAAACAAATTTTACATACATAAAATCTTACAGACCGTTACATGCTCCTTCCAAACATGTCCTTCACACGTGCTTGTGCTTCCCAGCACCCTGAAATGAAGGAACATTCCTATTCAAATGGTTCTTTGATAATAACATTAATCACCCTACTAATCTGCTCTGAGGTCACTGGCAGTGTCCATGAGCCTGTCACATTTTTAGGTCTTATCTTCCTGTTGGACCTGCCTGACCTCGCCCTCCTTCTGGAAGCACCACCATCCCTTGGCTTGACATCATGCTCTCTGGGTCTCTCTAGATGCCCCAACCCCGTCTCCTTCCCATGGTACCCTTCTGAGTGACCTCTGAATACCAGGTTTTGACTGCTTCATCAAGTCACAGAACCATCCACAGCTCAGGGGAGTCTGTTTCCTGCCTGTTAGCTTCCCTTGGACACTTCCAGGAACCTTGAAGAGACACCTCCCTTGGGCTCACTGAATGGTCCCACTCTTCACAGTACCAAAGGACCCTTCCTAAGGTCCACCTTGACACCTCCCTTCCCATCCCCAGAATCCTGCAGTCACAAAATTCTGCCCATCCCTATCACAAAGCTCCTGAGCATCCCTAGAATGCCTCTCTGCACCTCTCTGTAGCTTTAAGCTGCCAATCTCATCTGAGCACTCAGCTCTTCTATGGGCCCTGGCAATGCTCTACTGACTTGTCCCTTTATCTGTGCTTTGGCCTTCTGAAATCCGGTTCTGTATCTTAGAAATCTGACCATGTCCCTCTTCTGTTTCAAATGCTTCAGTGACTTAACACTGCTTTTAGGACAGAGACCGAGATACAAAATATGACGCACAGATCTTTTATGGCCCAGCCTCTGCCTGTGCCTCAGCCTCCTCCCCCACAGCCTGTACTGATGACACATCGGCTTCTTGTGGATCTGTAGGGACACCAGCCAACCCCATTCTCCAGATGCTGTTCCCCTACCTGTAGTGCTTTCGCCCAGCTAACTCACTCCTGTTCACCCTTTGTGGCTTAGTTTAAAGACCTCTTCCTTAGGAGGCCTTCCCTGAAATCTCCTCCATCAGGTTTCCATCTGGTCTTTCCCTTCCTAGAGCCCCTTCCTCATGGTAACTAATCACTTGAATGATTTTTCTCCTTTCCTGTGCATCTCCCTCAGAGACAGTGAACTTAAGAAGGTAGGCCCATTTTGTTCACCAATGAGATTCTCCATACGAGCACAGTGTCAGACACTCAAGCACTGTGCTGCTCATGATGGAATGAAGACACAGTCCTGGCTGCTGGAGACACAACTGGGACCATGATGCAGGCCCAACCCTTGAGCTCACGGTCTGCAGGACAGCACCATGCAGACAGCTCTGTCTTTGAAAACAGAACTCACCAAGGGATTTCAGAGAAAGTTCTCTTTGGAGAAGAAAGCCTATAGGAAAGGAGTTCAAAAAGGGGCTCTGTCCATGTCAGCGATGGTCTCCAGCAGCTGCGCTCCTGCCAGCCTGGCTACTGTCTCATGGCCTAGTGTGACAGCCACTGGACAGGAACAGAACCCTCTCAGAGTCAGTCTCACAAAGTGACACACAGGCACATGTTTGGCAGCTCTCAGAAAAGGCAGGAGCTAAAACAAAGGCACCCCAAGGCCAACACCTGGCCTCCTGCCCCATCTAAATCAGTGGTGGAGCCCCCTTGCCACCTGACACAAGTGCCTACTACAGGCTGTAGAAAGCATACCTCGAAGCTAAGGACAGTTGTCCCTGTTCAAGTAGGTCCTAGTGACAGTGGCTCTTGGGAGGGAGAACACGTATCCTTCAAGCCTGACAAAATTAAGGCATACAGAGCCAGACAACTATTCTTTCCAGCATGGGCACACAGTGGAGGCCAACTGTGGTCTGCGAGCTGTCCTCAAGTCTGGCTGGCTTCCTTTAGCTGCCCACCCCCCAAGCCACTGCCCACTGTCAAATCCTCCAATCAGCAGGAAGTGGAATGGCTGGAGGGCAGGGTCACTGTGAAGGTAGCTGGGAGATGCAGACAGAGAAACCCTGCTCTCCTGAGCTCTCCAAGGCTTTCCTGTCTGAGCAGCCACTGGGCTTCACGGCGCAAATGCTCCAGTGTTATCTTGTTGGATCTGTGACAGTGTTTTTCCAAAAAGCTTTGAGTGCATCCTACACAAGAGTCAGACATTGTGAACAGGCAGCTGCTACACCCTGCATGCATGCCTGGAGTTAGACCAAGTGACACTATTTCTCTCTCCTTTGCAGGCTATAGTCTGATGTTCTGTCCTTGTTAATTTCATTTTAAAATAAAGCTGGCTGCAACCCACCAGATTGATTTCATGATCTCTAAAGAGTTCTAAAAGCCAAGGACTTTAGTGGTTTATTTTGTTTTGTTTTGTTTGGCTGTGAAAGTCAAGAAGGGAGGAGGTGGTTAATGGTAACTGCCCCTGAGCTGAGGTGAGGCTGCTCACAGAGCTCAGAGAAGGCTCAGTGGGCGAATGAACTCTAGGTCTGTGCCCTCCATAGACCCCTGCTCTACTCCCTGCCAGCTGCCCCATACAGGCCCGAGTCTCACACCCTCAGGGGCTGGCTCAGTTCAGAGGTCGAGAACACATTTCAGAGCACTTAGGAGTCTAAGCACATGGCCTCTCTCCTCAGCTCAGGCAGGCTAGTGCTCTTCAGCAACGAGGGTCTCTTGTGTCACATTAATGACCCCAGCCCGCTCCCTGCTGCCTATGGTGCCTGGCATTAAAGCAGGTGCACAGGTGTGGTGACCTATGACTCCTAGAAAATAATACACATTCTATAGCCGCTCAGACTCCCTCAGACATCAAGGGAGGTGTTGTGTGTATAAATATACGTGGGAAAAAGTCCTCTGGGAGGCTAGGCAGAAGGAGAGAGGGTTCTACATATCATAAAGCAAAGGTTGGGTTTTCTTCTATTAGCATAAGCAAGTTCTCAAAGCAGAAGAGAGAAAGAACATAATGTTGGCTCAATCGCATCCTAGCCAAGTCTCCTGAATCCCAGAATGTCCAGGAGAAGGAAAGCACGAGCTCCAAACTCCTGGCCAGCATGACCACTCTCAGGGTCAGGGCCCAGGCACATTCCAGGGATAGCACCATGAAGCAGGGCAGATAGGCACAGGACAGGAGAGCACAAACCATGATGTCAGGCTGGGCTGAGTTTGTTCCTCTATGTGTGAACCTGGGCACATTAGACTCACTGGGCTTGTTTCTGCATTGGTAATGTGGACACAATCCCACTGCACTACAGGGCTACTGGAGGAATAAATACAAACTGCCCTGCCTGGGGCCTGGCACACAGTGAGCAGTGCTGAGTCAACATCACTGTCCTTGTCACTGTGAACAGTCGCGGGTGACCTTACCAAATCTCTGTTATGCCAGTGTTCTCCCGTAGCGCCTCTGCCAGCTGGGCAGTGCCTTTGGCTGTGATCTGATTCTGGATAAGCCTGAAAGAAGAGTAAAGCTGTGTCCAGTACAGAATACTGTGTTGAACCTTCTCCCTTTGCAGGGAGTGGTAAGTCAAACAAGACCAGAGAGGGGATAGGGGACTACATCTTTGTGTCTTCAGTAAGCAAGTTATACCTAGGTCATATACAGACAGCACTGAAAATGTGTGAATAAGGTATCTGTAGACTCCTGTATGTCCAGTGTAATTTATGAACAAATGTATGTGTGGCTTTTTTCATTGCCCAGATGAAAAGGTCAGAGACCACTGATCTGAACAACGAATTCCAAGAAGCCCTGCCAGGAGGACAGGCCCTGTGACACCTCCCGGACAACAGGAAAAGGCAAGGGAATTTTTAAACTTAAGTAGCTACCAACTAATTGTCCCTTCTTGGGGGACCCAACTCCTCCTAAAATGCTAGCATGTCCTTCCCAACATTCACAGGAAGGGCAGTGAGGTGGTGGGGGAGAGACAGCTAGCTAGCTAGGTCTGCTGTCACCACTCATGAGTCCAGTGGGAAACCTCACTACTGAGGTCTCAAAATATGCCCCATGTGGCTGAGTAGCCATTGTCCAGATGAAACCAAGTTTCTGGTGTAGCCGGCATGGCTGGAGTATTCCTGAAATGCTAGCCGGCAGCCAGGCCGCTAAGCTAACCAGGAGGTAAGTACAGAAAGATTCAACCAGATGTCTACACTTTGTCCCAGGCTTTCTCCTCACTCTGGGTTGTTTGTACCACAGGCTACTGCTGGACCCGACTCTAAGAAAGCTTGGGCACCGACCTGAGGAGAGGCCCTGCCCGGAGAATGTGGGCTGTGTTCTCATGTAGGTGAGGCTACAGAGATAAGACCCCCGAAGCACATGCAACCAAGGAGAAAGGGAGTGAACGGGATGGGACCTCTCCGGAGCCCAAAATGTGTGTGATTCAAAGGTCCCTTCCAAGGAAGAGAAAAATCTCATAGGAGAGGAGAAAATACTTGCAAATCCTGTATCAAATCAAAGTCTAAAACTGGGGACGATGATCCTCTAAGCTCAGCAATGAAAGGACCAAGAACCCAGTTATCAAATGGGCAAAGGATGTGGAAAAGTTTCTTTGAAGTAGATGTAGAACAGCCAGCAGCTGCCTGCAAGATGCTTGACACTGCTAGCAGGAAAACACATCAAAACCACAGCAGAGTACCACTTCACACCTGCGAGTACAGCCACACTAAAAAAAAAAAAAGGTGAATAGCAGCACAGCGTGGGAGGATGTGGTGAAATTGGAATCAATCCTAGGCTGCGGTAAGAATGTGAAAGAGTACAGCCATTCTGGAAAACAGTTTGGTGGCTCCTCAAAATTTAAACACAAAATCGCCATATGATCCTATAGTTCTGTTTTTAAGTGTATACTCAAGTGAAATGAAAACATCAATATGCAAAATCAGGTGCATGAATGTTCATGGTAGCATTCTTCATGACAGTCAAGAAGTAGAAACGATCCCCAAAACCAATCAAATGATGAGCAAATGAAATGTCATATACCCATGTAATCAGTGGAGTGTCATTTAGCCATAAAAAGCAATGACACAAAATGTGATGCAGATTAAACTTGGATGTTTATGCTAACCGAACACAGAGGCTAAAGGTCACATGCTATGTAATTCTATTTACATGAAATGTAGGAATAGGCAAATTCACAGGTAGAAAGTAGATCAGTGCTTGTCAGGGGCTAGGGGAAGTGAAGGATGGGGAATAACTGCCTAAGGCACACAGGGCTTTTTTGTTGTTGTTGGAAGGAAGAAGTAGTGAAAACAGCCCAGAATCAAGTCAGCAGTGGCTGTGCGGTCTTGTGAATATCCTGAAAACCTCTAAACTGTGTAGGTACTTTAAAAGAGGGAAATTTGTGGTGTGTAACTTTCTCTTAAAAAACATTTTGGAAAGCATAGTCTGAGATTCTACGGCTCTCTGATTTACCATAAATGCTTCAACGTCTGGTTGACTTTCAGCATTTCTGCGAAGCTCTCTGCCACTTCATCGTTGAGTTCATTTTGGGTCAGCCTAGAAAACAGGAAATGTTGACTCAGGAGAGCTGGGGGTGGGGGTGGGAGGGAGGGGTGGGGGTGGTGGGGGTGGGGTTGCAAGTGTTAATGAGTTCAGAAAAGCAGGATTCCAGCCTGGGTCTCTGCAGCTCTGCAGCTCTGCAGGGAACCAGCAAAGGTTCAGGCTGGCAGTGTCCACAGATGTACCCAGGGCCTTGGATTTAGAGCAGACCCTCTCCTGGACGCCTCTGTACCAAACCTGCTGCCTGTGGTGCAGCGTATACTTCCTGACCTTCCAAGCTCTCAGATTTTGCAGAAGACAGGGTTCCAGAAAGTGAGGCTGATGTCAGGCCTCCTCCAGCCCCAAGACCCCTTGACACCTGTGACAGTGTGCTAGCTGAGTCAGTGTGGAAACCTGGAACTCCACCACCACCATCACCCTAAGGGAACATGCAGCTCTGTGCTCTGAGGCCAGGCGTGAAGGACCCACGTTCAGTGTATGAGAATTCAGGAAGCCTCTCCATTGCTCTGAGTACCAACAGTGGCCTGGATAAAGCACACAAGCTCCCAGGTATAACTAGGATTGGACAGTCACGTTCCAGTGGATGAAAGAATAATAATACTGGAAATAAATAGAACATCATTTAAAAAAATCATTCCTGAAAGGGCAGTTTGGTTATGTCTATTTCAATTGTAAATGTTTCATTTTAAGAGAAGAAATTTCCCCTGCACTGAGAAAGATGAAGAACGAAGACTTCCACCTTGCAGCATGTGTGGTTTTATGGTCAGAATGAAACCATGAACAATTTGAAACACCTGCCAATGGAAACAACTGATAAAATAGTGAACCTCCATTCAAAAGGACACTGTGTGGCTTCAGGGAGAAGGAAGGAGAATAGAGGAGGGAGAAAGGTTTCAAAGTGCTCTGGAGTCAGCCCTGCAAGTTTGTATCACCAGCAAGGTGACCTCCGGCAAGTGGTTTAAGCTCTCTGGGTCAGAGTTCTCCCATGGGAAAATGTGCGTGGCAATGGTACTTTGCAGCTGTGTAACTTAGAACACAGCAAAGGCTCGGAGTATTCCGCGGCATGAGGTCACGCTCCAATCTCAGGCACTGATGGCGCTGTGCATGTGGAGCAGAGGTGAATCAGGGTGAGCTCGCAGACCATGCTGCACCTGGCTGTAGCTGCAGACATCTGTGACTGACACAATGAAGGACGGGCTCGGGAGCTCCTGGTATCTAACAGCTGCAGGCTGGTGATGATGCCTGCCATTCTCCAATGTAGTAGCCCACAACAACAAGGAAATATTCCAAACAAAATGGGGATGTGCTAAAGATAAGAAACCTGACATAAAGGGACATGTCACACATGTACAACAGTTAGTTATTTTTAAAGCTACTTGCTAAGTGCTATTTTGTATAGATTTGAATACACAGAAACAGGCTAAAAGGAGAGCACAAGAAATGTAGTTTCATTTCCCACTTTTCAGAATTCTGAGTTAATGTTTTCAGTTTTTTTAAAAAAAGCATATGTTATTCTTGAAAATCTTGAAGATGTTTTTGAGGAAAAGAATGAAAACTGCATTTACGCCAGCCCGCCTAGCATCAGAACTCTCTGATAAAGCTGACACTCTCACTATGTTCGGTAATTATGTTAGCCTCATCTCATGGGCACTGGGCTGTGGGTGAATGACACAGCAGGGCACGAGATGTCCTGCTCACTTGTAAGGAATTTATGATACAGATAAGTAAATAAAATAAAAATAAAGGAAAATCAAAGGTCAAATGACACAGAAAAGGAACAACAAAAGCACCATCAGAAGGTAGTATCCACTCATTAGATACCCTGGAGAGCACAGAGGGGGCAAGGACAATGAGCTTTCTGTGACAGATGACGGGCAGGCTGGTGCGCTGGGGGCCAAACACTGATGAGATTTGGGACAGGCGAAGGCAGCTCACGACAAGGAGAACATTCTGAGCTGAGTTCCAGAAAGCTGGACCCTCCTGCGTAACCAGGAAGTGGCCTGAGGGACCCTCCGGCAGAGTGAATGACAGACCTCCTGACTGCAGGGTGCCACAAGAGGACAAGCCTATCTTTGTGGGACCCATGCCCCTCTTCTATACCTATTCGTGCTTCTGAACATATCTGTTTGCTTCTCTAGCAGGAAACAATATCCACCTTTTCAGTAAAGATTTCAGGCTGTGCAGAGCTCCTGGTATAATTACCAAGACCCCTGGGGGGACTCAGGCTTTACCAGAATGTCAGCAGAGACGTGTTGTGCTGCAGGGCCTGAGCAAGGCTCTTCCCTCCTTCAGTAGAGATGCAGTTGAATGCGAGGCTAGAAAGGAAACACTTGGGATAGATTATTACAGACACATCCACCTTGGCCCTCAGCTTCAACTTCGTATACTCTGTTTGGATGTGCACATGTCAGGCCACCTTGAGGCAGGAAGCGGAAGCAGTCGGCCCCAGTAAGTACTGCCCACGCTTTGCAGCCTGAGCCCACGCTCGGTGCAAGGGGATGGGCATAAAGTTGCTCAAGCAGAGGCCAGATGGGAAGTGAACGTGAAACTCAGTGCGCTGAGGAGACCTAAGGGCGGGGCCCTGCCTCATCTGACAGTCTCAAAGGGCTCCTTCAGCAAGAGCTGGAGCAGGCCCTCTGCTGTTGTCCCCACTGTGAGTCTCACTCGGGGCAGGATGGCAGTGGCACTAGCAGAATCTGAGGCACCAAAGCTCTTGGAATAGGCTTGAGGCCTAGAGAAGAGCTGGGAAGGGGCACTCTCGATTACAGGGAAGAGGGTCCTCTTTACCCAAGGACCAGTCTGAAGGACAAAAAGGGCGGGAATCTTCTAGGAACGGGACCTTTTTGTTTTATGTAGACTTAGGAATTCTTCCAGCCTCCAAGGGACCTGAGTGGGTCGCTGAGGGGCCATGAGTATCCCATGTGTTTATCTGCGTGGTGTCACACTGGGTGCACGTGGGCAAAACCCTCTCTGCTGAACACATAAGAATACTGTTTTATGCTTCTAATGCACTGAGCAAAATCTTTCGGAAAGAGAAGACTCTGACATGTAATCTCTCCCCTATTAGATAAGCCAGTCCCTCTTTTCACCCAGAATAGCTGGGTGACTGGTTGCCCGTGGGCCCCTTGGCCCCGCAGCCTCAGAGGCAGCCGTTACCTCAGGAAGGATAGACGGGGGTGATCCCTCAACGCCTCTGCAAAGGCTTTCGCTCCTTCGTCCCCGATCTGATTACCCCACATCCTGAGGGCAGAGGTAAGACACTGAACGTTAGTTTCCCCATCCCACAAACTGCCTTGTTCGCCCTTTATTTTATGCCAGTGGCCAAGGCTTGATTTATATCAACAGGCAAGTGCTTTGCTCCATTTCTGGAGACCAGTTCCTCACTCTGGCCCTAAGTGAGCTGCTCTACATTTTCAATGCAAAGGGAAATGTAAAAGAATAAAGAGAAGTGGCCGCTTTGCAAACACAAGTCGTTCAGAAAGATGAACAATTAAGAGACTGGAGCTTCACCAGAGCTTTGGGAGAGCTGTCAGCCTGTGTCTCAGCTCACGACTGTCCCGATTGGTCACAAGGTCCGAACTGGCTGAAAGGCAGGAGTGTGGGGTGCAGGGCTCCCAGCCCTGTTTGCCTCTGGGCCGGGTGGGGGTTGGTGCTGCAGACGTGAAGCTCTTCCAGGAAGCAGAGGTCAGGAAGTGTGGGCAGAAACCACACTGATAACACGCTGTGCATGCTGAAGACACTGCCAAGCCCTGCGCTGCAGAGGCTGCAGCGCTGGCAGAGAGTTGGGCCACTGAAACTGACTTCTCCACCCAGAGCACATGCTTGGGGAGATCAGGCTAGCAGCTCCCACCCTGGCTCTGCCACCCACTACCCATGCAACTTTAGGTAAATGATAGAAATCTTAGAAGACCTCGGGCTCCTCAGCTGTGAGATGGAGACACTCCTGCATGGAGTCGTTTGAGCATGCTGAGAGTCAATACACATAAGGTCTTAGAGCAGTGCCTGGCCTGTAAAAAGTGCCAATTACTGACAGGATGAGAGGACAGTATGTCCAGAGAGCAAAGCCATCAGCCTGGCGCTTTCACAGCACAACTGGGGCTGACTCAGCAGTGTGCTCCCAGCCAGAAGCCGTCTGCCTCCATCCGTCCAGGTGTGGCCTGCAGAGGCCAGGGTAAGGCTTCAGTGTTTGGCTTACAATATACGTGTACTGTGAGAGCAAGTAAAAAATGAATGTTTAAATTCTGTACCTGCACTTTGACCTCTACTATGTTAAAAAATGGGATTAGGGGAAGAAACTGAGAGTATAAATGGCCTCAAATGTTAACAGTTACTATTTCTGGAAGATAACTGCCATATTGTCTATAGTTTATAAATAAGACTATCTGTGTTCTTTTTATGATCCAATAAAGTCATGATGATTATGCAAAGTGATCTGAAGCTTTTTAACCTCCCACCCATTCGGACGGCTCGTAATAACAAAACACAACACGCTAAGTGCTGGTGAGGGTGTGGAGAAACTGCAGCCCGCGTGTGCACTGTTGGAGGGAAAATAAATTGGTGCAGCTGCTAGGGAATGCACTGTGGTGTTTCCTCCAGAAATTAAAAATAGAATTCCCACATGATCCAGCAATTCCACCTCTGGGTTTCTGGCCAAAAGATATGAAAGCAGGATCTTGAAGAGATACTTCTACCCTGTGTTCACAGAGCCATTATTTACAACAGCTGAAACAAGGAAGCAACTCAAGTATCCACTGGCAGATGAATGGATAAACAAAATATCATCTGTGCAGCTGTGTGCAGTGGCACAGGTGTCATTACAGCTACTCAGGAGGCTGTTGTAGGAGGATCCCAAGTTCAAAAGTTCAAGGCCACCATGGACAACTTACTGAGATCCTGTCTCTAAATAAATAAATAAATACATAAATACAGTTGGGGATGTTGCTTGGCAGTAGGGTGCCTCTGGGTTGAATCCCCAGTGAGGAAAAATAATCTAACATATACATACAATGTATTTGGCCTTAAAATGGAGAAAACTGACATGTTACAAGAGGTAGGAACCTTAGGGTATTATGCTAAACGAAATAAACCAGCATGAAAAGACAAAGACAGCATGACTCCACTTACGTGAGGTTCCTAGAGGAGTCAAGTTCATAGACAGCAGATGGTGGCTGCCAAAGGCGGGGGAGGGAAGGAAGGCTGGTTTGTAATGGTGCACTTTCCATTTTGCAAGATAAAGAGTTTGGAGATGGATGTGGTGATGGTTGTATAATGCTAAGAATGTGGTTACCAACACTGAGCTGTACAATTAAAAATAGAGATGATAAATCTTCAGTATATTGTACCACAATTTTAAAACACAGCAGCCAGGCACAGTGGCTCACACCTGTAATCGCAGCCCTCTGTAGGGGGAATGAGGTGGAAGGATCACAAGTTCAAATCCAGCAGGAAAACTTAGCAAGGCTTTGTCTCAAAATAAAAATAAAACAAAGATTGGGGCTGTAACTCAGTGATACCAAAGGACACCCAGTACCACAGGTGAGGAGGAGAAAGACACCCAAGACATATCAAACCCATCTGTCTGTAGCAGCCACCACATGGCTAAAACAGCTCTATCCCTTTGCTGGTGGCGCTAACACTGATTCTGCATGACCTAATTAGAGGTCTGACAGCCAGAGCTGTCATCACTCCTGGGACTTCCTGCACCACTGCCTGCGGCTTCCCTGCTGCCTACCCCTCCCACCAGATTGAGAGGCACCTCTGAGGTACAATAGCCAGCCAGGGCCCATGCACACGGAGCAGGCTGCCCACGTCCGTGTGCCACTCCCTGCCACTCACCCAATGTCAGAGATCCACGTGCTGTTCTTCACCGCCAGAGCGAGACACTTGCCACCTTCACTTGTTATTTTGTTTTTTCCCAGTCTGCAGAGAGTGATGCACAGTCAGCCTGCAGCTGTGTGGGACTCCACCCATGCCCACCTCCTCCCTGGGCCACCCTTCCTGGCACAGAGCCCCTCCTTCCCTTCCTTGCCACTGTGACTTTGCTCCCGGACACACTGTGCTCTGGACCTTTCTCAGGAAGGACCTGCAGCCCTGAGGACAGCCAGGCAGGAGATGGCCACAGTCTCTGCAGAAAGTCAGTGACCTGAGCCATCCTGTGTCCTCTAAGTGACTTGAGGAACATCAGCAGGCTGAGGAGGGCCAACTTCAGCTGCCAAAGGTCAAGGTGTTTGTCTCCACTGCAGGGCAACATCAAGAGTTCAGTCCCCGTTGGCACAGTGTGTCTATGATGTAATCCTGTGGGGTTCTCCCTCAGGGCAAGATCTTTTCCTTTAGTTTTTCTCAAAGGGTAGTATTTATGCCCTTTCTACCTGGTCAACAATTAATGAAATCACACGCACGCACATGTGCACACACACACACACACACACACACACACCAGAAGATGACCCTTTCTGGTCATCGTTCTGATCAATTTCTCCACGCAGCAAGGTTATCTTCCACACACAGGGCTTCTCCATTTGACTGGCTTCGCACTAGGGCAGGCAGAAGGTTTAGAATTAAAGTTTTTCACTGGGACCTTGATTCTTTATGGAAGAGGAGACCCCAAGACTCAAAGGAGAAAGAAGGTCCCACCCCACTTACTTAAGGTGTGTGAGGCCTTTGCATTCCTCTAGGATCTGCGCGACGTACCTGGCTCCGACATCAGTGATCTGGTTGCTGTATAAACTGGATGAGAAAGCACAGCCAGGAGACTATGATGTCATGGGAATGACCTCCCCCCAATAAGTGCTGCTTCTGAGTTTCCAAAGTCTAGGTTGGAAGCAGAACACAGAGGGACCAGAGCTTGGGGTTCTGCCGCTCAGCCTAGCTTCAAACCAGCCACTGCTTCCTCCCTGGCCTCTGTCTGCAGTAGGGGTGACATTCACAGCTCCCACCGGGCTGTCTGCAGGAGCAGATGACAAGATGCACAGCCTTGGTGCGTAACTGCCGCATGATAGAGGCTATCAGCTAAGAGGGTTCTCAGCTTCTGGAAGGAAGGGGTTCCCCCTGAATATCAGACCCTCTCTTTGCCTACCCTTAGTCAAGTTACTGCTCTAATCCAACTCAATAGGAAGGTGGAACAAAGCTGAATGACACAATTCAGCTGTGGCTTCCGGGGCTCCCTGTCACACTGCGCTCTACCTCAGCATCTGCGTTTCACGCGCAGAAGATTGAGGCACAATGACCCTGAGCAACCATTCCAGCTCCCAGGGCTGCCGTGGCCTCAGGGCCCATGATGCCCCATCACAGACTCCAAAACAGGCATCTCTGAAAAACCAAAGTTCTTCATACATTTTTCAGTAACTTATGTGGAGCTCTTGTGGTTCTGACTTTCTCTACTTGCTTTGAATGCTTGCAATTTCCTGAGCCTAGGGTGTGTCCTGGGCCCTCTGTGGCTATGCCACTGCTACATAGCATGTACACCAAATCCCCATTTGTGGCTCAGCCCGAGGGTTTTAGAAGAGGGGTTCTGGGCCCACAGTAGGAAGGTCTGTTAAGGGTTTGAATGTTATAGAACCTGTGTCCACATATTCTTTCAATGCTTCCCCCAAAAACTAGTTAGGGTCCCCTACGTTAGGGTCCTAACCTCACAAGTGATGGGGCTGAGCTCAGCCACAAAGACCAGGGCCAAGCCAGGAATAGAACCCAAGACTGCAGGTTCTCTTTCTGCTCTTCCCCATGCAGCCACATGGATGGAATCTGTATTCTGTACTGCTCTATTCTTATTGCATCATTGGCCCAATGTTCCCAAGAAGGCATACCCCAAATATGTCAAAATTTTGTACTTGGTGAGTTCTTCACACAGCACCTTTACCCCGTTGTCAGTGATCTGGTTGACGCTGAGTCTGAAACAGAACAACCAAGAAAATGCCAAGTCAGGGCACTGTGCCTTCTGAAGGACACTGGAGCCTCGAGGACCCAGAGGCCTGCACCCTGGAGGCTCTCAGTTATGAATGCTCCAGTGAAGGCAGCATAGGTATCCACCAAATGGCCCCTACTAACCCTGGCTGTCCTGGGGCCACAGGCCACCTTGCTCAGGCTGCAGCACAGCTGTGCACCGCACAAGGCCAAGGCCATGAGGGCCAGGCACCTGTGCGAGCCCGCATTTGTGCACAGCCTGCAGATCTGTGGCTCTCACTGCACAGTGGGTATGGGGTTGTAACTGCAAGGAGCTGTCCTTAGTGGTCATTGCAACTGGGGAAGGGACAGCCTGCCATTTCACGAGGGGCCAGTGAGACCCCTGAAAACCACAGGACAGTCCTTACAAAGACTGTCCCACCTTACACACAAACAGCCTCCTTCCCGGCAGGAGGGCTGAAGCTGACTTTCCTATGGTAGAGGCTGAGAGTCCTGCTGCAGCTCAGGGAAAGTGCTCAGGGAGCGGAACAGGCTGGGAAGCGCACAGGCAGAGGAGAGGTTGCCAGAGGGAGGACCACTACAGGGGGTGTCAACAAAGGAGGCGACAGGCAGTGAACTTTTATACAAAGGGGCCATCTAGGAAATATTTTAGACTCTGCAGCCAGCTGGTCTCTGACACAACTACTGAACTCTATAGTGTGAAGCAGCCAGCGAGCATGGCTGTGTTCCAATAAAACTTTATTTACAAATACAAGCTACAGGCCAACTTTTATGGCAAGTAAAAGGCTGAACAGCTAAAGGCTTAATTCTCTTAGACTGTATCAAAATTATCAGACATTCTAGACCCTCTTCCCATAGTATCTGGGTTGGGGCTAGGATAATGTGTATAATACCCTGCAAGACTACCCCAATAAGGCAGAGTATGTCGTCACTTCCCATATCTATGCTTTCTTAGCAATAACCCCCTATATATGTATTTTTTTTTCACTTGGTGCTGTTAGTTTCTGGCCAATGAAATCTATGAAGCAGTGTCATTAGCAATAGCTGAGAAGTTTCACATGAACGGGCTGTGCCATTTGACCTTTCTTCTTCCTGGTGGCATGCTGACTAGATATCCTGAGCTTGGGCAGCCTGTCTTGGGTCAACAGGCAGAATCAGTACTGAGGATGGCAGAATGGCAAGGCAGAAGAGAACCTAGACTTCTGAGAGTCACAGAGACACCATACCAGCCACTTAGTATCTCTAGACTGAGCATAAAACAGAAATAAGTTATAACTCAAAGCACTAAGGTTTTCTCTAACTCCCAGCTGTAGTTATTCCTAAGCGATGCCCTCGGGAAGCTCAGAGCACTTCCCGGTGGGTCTGCAGATGCTCTTGCTTTCCTGTGCACCACTTCACCTGGGGACAGCAGAGCAGGACCAGCACCCTGCTGCAGTTTCCCTTTTCTGTGATAGGTGGCGCTGGGCTAGAGGCGGCAGAAGGCTGTAGAAGGGACAGCAGCTGGCTGACAGCTCAGAGGACAGACTGAAGCTTCTAGTTTCCAGGCCAGACAGCCTCCAGCTCCCCACTTCCTTCATGCCCATCCCCTCCCCACTCTGCTACAAACACCGGCTCTGAGAGTTCCAGATGCCCACAGCTGTTCAGAATAGTTTAGGCCTGGAGACATTGTCAAGGTTTGTTTCATACAGGAAATGGTGAGAGGATTGGCCTCCTTTTCCTGCAAACCATCGAGCAGGGAAATAACAAAGAGACAGCATTTTGACTGCTGTCTTTGGGGTGCAGGGTTATTGATTTGATCACAGAAAGTCACTACTGAATGCTAAACAGTTTCTTCACAGGAAAAAACAAAACACAAAAACAAAATCTCTCCATGGGCTACCTCTTAAAAGGTAGGTTCTTTGTACATTCTGACTCTGTTGTGTCCCAGCTGTGTGACTTGCAGTGAGTCATTAGATTCTCTGTGCCCGTTTCCTCGTTTGCTAAAACAGATAGTGACAAATCCCACTGCACTGAAGAACATGCAAGTAGGTAGGATTTGTAATGGCTTCACCCACCCACTATCAACAAGCACTGGTCCTCATCACCGTGACCGCTCGGATTAGGAACATCTCCTTTTGCAGACAGGAGGCTGGGGCTCAGAGATGTTCAATGGTTTGTTCAAGGGCACTTTCTGGGGCTGACCCAGGCCCACTGGACTCACCTTGCCACCCCGAGACAGAGAAAGCTTGGACCTTCCAAGAGTCCTACGGAAAGGTCAGGCCCAGGGGATCCCGACCCATTACGCAGGTTCCAGGGCCGGAGCCCGGCCTACCCATGCCTGCACCTCACCTGAGGACGACCAGGCGGCTGAGGCAGGGCTGCAGCTCGCGCACGCCATAGTCGTTGAGATTGTTGTTGTCCAGGTCGAGGGCCAGGCTCTTGTGGAGGTGGTGCAGGACGTAGGAGAGGGCGCTGCAGTCGGCCGAGCAGGCATTGCAGAAAGTCAGCTTGAGGTAGTCGGCACAGACGCCACGGGCCGCCAGCCGCGCCACCTTCTGGCTCTGCGTCTCGTAGATGCAGCGCAGCATCCACAGGAAGGTGGGCATGGCCTGCACCTGCTTGAAGCCCCCGCTGTGCAGCCGGGGCAGGCTCTTCAGGTAGCTGCGCATGCTGGTGCACAGGTGCGTCCACAGCGCATGGCGCTTCCTCCTTAGGGCGGCGGCAGGCACCAGGTGCCTCAGCAGCTCTTGCCTGGCCTTGGACAGCAGCCCGCACAGGAAGAGGTTGGTGAACTGAAAGTGGTCCTTGTTCTTGAACAGGTCGGAGCCTGCCGGACGGCCACCCCGCCAGCGTTGGAAAGGTAACAAAGAGGGCAGGCAGGATGCGGCTGCGCCCTCCCCAGGAGGCGTCCACTCTCGGAAGAACCGGAGCAGCTCCTGTGTGCCCACCTTGTCGTCCACCACGAGAAAGAAGGCCGTGAAGAAGGCCTGCAGGGTGATATGGAAAAACTCGTAGGACTGCCCCCCACAGGGCCCCAGCGCGGGCGTGGTCCGCAGGAAGCCGAGCGCCAGGTCCGCCTCCTGCAGCCCGGAGGCCTCCACGTCGTCCTGGCAGAACACGAAGAGGCTCTGCTCCATGCCACTGCGGGCCACTTGGCCCAGCGCGCGCAGCGTGCGCAGCCCGGCGCGGAAGGTCTCCGCAGTGCTGCGCGTGTTGCGCTGCACCAGGCTGCGGGGCTGCGTCCTGTTCAGGTGGACCTCGGTGACCAGCAAGAAGACGTCGGTCAGAGTCACAGCGCAGTCGGGCCGCTGCGGGGAGCCCTCGAAGGCGGAGTGGAAATACTGGAAGCAGCGGAAGATGATCCAGCAGAAGAGCGGCACGGCGCACAGGCTGCAGAGGTTGGGGTTGGCCTCCAGCTGCTGGAGCAGGTGGGCCTGCGCGGCGCGCTCGGGGAACATCCTGCGGGCATAGGCGCGCAGGTGGATGGGTGAGAAGCCCCGGAGAAGCACCTTCTTGCGCAGGAGGTGGCGCGGCACCTCGACGCCCGTGCGCGCTGTGAGCAGCTTTCTCGCGCCCTGGAGCAGCCGCCCGCTGAGCAGGTTGGCCAGCAGGACCAGCGGGTGGGCGGGTTCCCGGGGGCAGCAGGTGTCTGGCACTCGGCTCAGGTCGAAGTCTGAGTGCAGCTCATCCAGGCCGTCGAAGGTGAAGAGCGCCGCCTGGGGAAAGCGCAGCAGGAAGGCGAACACCTCCTCGGGGTCCTGCTCAGGGTAGCAGAAGTGCTTGAAGAGCAGGTCCTGCAGGCTCAGCGTGTCACTGTCCTTGAAGCAGCTGAAAATGCGGCAGCGGAAATGGAAGAAGAACTTGATTTCTGCGCCCAGCCGGCCCGAGGCCCAGAGGCTCTGCAGCCGCTGCAGCAGCATGGACTTGCCCACGCCCGCGTCGCCGAACACGAACACAGTCTCGCCGTGCTCATTGAGGACGTCCGAGCTGGGGTCCAGCAGGCAAGCCAGGCTGCTGAGGCTGCCCAGGATCTCGTTACTGAAGCTCACCAGCTCCATGATAGTGTCTGTGTATGTCTCCTCCAGCAGCAGCTCCTCTTTCTGCGCGTAGCACAGCATGAATTTGGAGTCGCAGCCCAGCTGGTGTCGCAGCTTCTGAGTGTACCTGCTCACTGGGGCACAGCGACCCGCGGGGGAGGTAGAGGCAGAGACAGAAAGGTAGGAACGTATTAAAAAAAGAACTATGTAGGAGGAAAAGCAAGTGCACTAACAAACCAAACCCACAGCCCTCCCTTGGGCCAAAGGCAGTTTTAGTTACTCAACAAATGCAGGCCCTCAGTACGCTCAGAGCCTGCAGCCTACATCTGAGAGGCCCTAGCACCTCTCAGCGTGACTTCAGGTTCGGCCGCTAGAGGGCGACAGACTTTCAACTGGGATCTGTGCCTGAGACCCGCCTGCCTAGTTCCCACTGAACTCTGGGTATAAGACTGAGCCCCTCACACTTGAGGCCCAGGCTGGATGGCCCTGCTGTCCCAGACCGTCTCCACGGTCCGGTCCAGACAGCATGAGCCAGTACTGTGGAAAGTCATATTATTAAGAAAAAAAAGTGCCGGGGATTTAGCTCAGAGGCATAAGTGCCTGCCTGGCAAGTGTGAGGTGGTGTGTTCGATCCCTGGTACAAAAAAAAAAAAAAAAAAAAAAAAAAAAAAAAAAAAAAATTAAGAAAGAACTGTAACCTTTCTTTTGCCTGTAACACTGACTGCCCTTGAAACAACGGGAACCATAGTCTAGACAGGCGAGAAAACAGTGATGGGCGTTATTCTGGGTTGCTTAGGAGCCACGCCTCACTGAAAGCACCACAACTAAGTTGCCTGAGATGAGACAGCACCTGACAGGCCGGGCCTCAGCTTGCTGATGTTGGGTTCGACCTGTAGGGTGACCCCTAAGAGGCCGCCAGGGGCGAAACATGCTCACAAGGGTGTGGTGTCACCAGCACACCTGTGTGACAAAAATAAGACTTGTGCCGAGGCAGGTGGTTCTTCCCCCAAAGGAATTTGCAAATATTTCTTTAAAATACTTTTTGAACTTTAAAATTATATTCAGTTAGAAAACAACTAGGCATTTATACACATTTTCAGAATCATCTAAAACCCTTCCCCATCAATTTAGTCTAATTTGGTTGTCTTTAAAATTTGTAAAGTGGATTGTATTTTATCTGCAGCTTTACTGAAACATAAATGGCATGCCACAAAATTCACTTGTTGGAAGCATCACATAACAGGAGTGATCCTTACTAAATTTACAGATTCATGTGCATGTCACAGTTCAGTCCTAGAACATTTCCATCATCCTCCCAAAGCCTTCCGATTCCTATCTGCCGCCAATCCCAGCCTCAACTTTAGGTGACTACAGACTATTGCTTTCTTCAAAATCTGCTGTATCTGGTCATTTTGTATAAGTAGATATGTACTATAACTATAAGGTCTTTTGCCTATAGATAAATTATACTTTTTTTTGGTACCAGGAATTGAACTCTGGACCTTGTGCTTGCCAGACAGGCACTGTATCACTAAGCTATATCCCTAGCCTGATAGCTTATACTTTAAAGGGTAGTGTTAATAGCTGTATAAAGAGACCAATGGAGAAATCCTTTGAAAGAACTATTCACCATGGGAATATTTTCCTTTTCTTGGTGGGGACAGCAAACAAGAATTGTGCCAACTTGATTGGCTTGGGCTTTAACCAAGCACGCTTCTCTGTGTGGCTGGGGGATCATGGCGGCATGGCCTTGGGTCTTATGTATACATGGTCCTTGGCCTTTTCCTCTCTGATGCTGCTCCTCTCCTCTGATGTCAGAGTAGGAGGTAGGCAAGAGATCAGAATGGAGTCTGTCCCCACATTACCAGCAGGCCTATATAAGCTAGAAAGGAGCCTGGGAATGTGGCTCAGTCACAAAGCCTTGGCTTCCATCCCCAGCACTGCAAAATAACAACCAGAGGAGCTACATGTGGCCAGGCCAGGTACAGTCAGTGGGATGTACTTAGGTAACAGAAATCAGCTCTTTTTCAAATAGCACATAAGCCTGATTCATGAGAGAGGACCATGGGCTGGCCAGGTGGCCCATGGGTCAAAGCATTTCCAAACCCAGGGCTTTGTTTGCATTGGAGCCTGCAGTCCCGCGGGGGCTGGCTTATACCTGGGTCAGTGTTGACAATAGTTTTGTTCTGAATGAGCTGTGAAGGGGAAAAACTGATCTCCAACAGCCAAGGCCTGAGGTCCACGTAGGCATCTGCAAGCTGCTGGAGCACGTAGAGGAAGAACTCAGACACCTCCTCACCCTTGCTCTGTACCAGATCCAGGATTTTTCGGACCTGTGTGTAGCACAAACATAAAGGCATGAACTGTTACGAGGGGTGGGTGCAGCCCAGGGCTCTAAGCTCTTACTATACCCAGCTTTACCACCTGCCCTCTTAATCAGAATGGATATGCTGGGAGCCTAGAATCAGCCAAAGTGATCTTTTTGGAAAGAAACAAAACCATAGAGTTCTATAAAACCAGAAGGCTCCCATGAGTCTAAAAACAAACAAAAAAAATCAGTGCACAGTGAAACCCATGTCCAACCACGGAATTCTCATTTTCTGCCAGGAATGAGAGGGGAGAAGAGGAAGTCACTCCAGATGAGATGGGGTCACGAGGCCACACAGCAAGAGGGTAACAGATCCCCATATACATTATATGTTAAGAACAGGGCCGTGGATATAGCTCAGCAGCACAGCACCTGCCTGTCAAGCGCGGGGTCATGAGTTCAATTCTTGGTATAAAACAAAACAACACAAAACAAAACAAAACAAAGCAAAACACAGTGTTGTTATTAAAACTGCAGAAAAAAATCAAGAGGAGACCAAGCATATGAGTGTGCTACTGGGCTTGGTCAGAAGCTGTCCTGGTCTCTGTGAACTCTCACAGCGTCACATCATACACAGGTCTGTTGCTCTTCTCCACGAGGATGTGTGGGTATGCATTTTATTTGTCAGAAGTCACGCCACACTGAGGTGAAGCTTAGAACTGTCAGACCAAGGGGAGGCCACACAGTTCTTCGGTGGGGGCCCACTTGGGATCTGAACCCTGACACAGTTCTCATCCTGAGTCTTGAGCCCATGTGAGCAGCCCTCGGTGCGAATGGATGTGTTTTATGATCACTGCTTCTTCGGGAGCAGTGTGGTAAGAGCTGCTGAGCGGTAAGAACTTGCTCTAGTCATGTGTGTACCCACGCACACGCGCATGCATGCATGTATGCGTATCAAGCCATCAGTATGAAATCCTTCGGTGTATTAACCTCCCCAAATCCTTCCCTCAGGCCAGCAGGAGAAGCTGCTTCTGGTTCCCTCCAGCCCTGCCACAGTACCTTGTCCGGCTGGGTGGGGCAGGCACACACGATCTCCGCGTCCTCTGCTGAGAAGTAGTCATTGTGCAGCAAGTTGTCCACCAGACACTGCACGTTACGGATGTGCGTGACTAGAAGTTCCCGGTTGACCTTCAACAATCTAACATGGGAGTGAGACTCAGACAGGCCACCTTCCATTTCACGATGGCCCTGCTTTTCCATACCTCTGGTAGCAAGTAGCTGCTGTCCCCAAATTCATTTTTGGCTGCATGTGTCTTGCTGGCAGAAGAATGATCAGGCTCCAGGGCCCCTCTTCTCAGTCCCTGAAGAGACAAACGTCAGCTAAGAAAAAACTGTGGAAGGATCCCACCTACTCTCACTAGTGATCTTGGGGTTTCTCTACTTAAAGCTGGAGGGAGCCCCACTTAAGACTTTTATCTGAGATGCATTAAGCCGGGGGGGGCTCATAATTCAATTACATCCATTCAGGGGTTTTTACATAACTAGGCAGGTGACCAGAGATAGCCAACAGTTTCATTTAGTACAACTAATCATTACTGTTTTTGCAGACAAAAGTGCCTTGATCCTCCACTGGGCTAAGACGGGAAGATGTGTTATTTTACTGAAGTCAATGTACATTGGAGGTTTCTACATCCCCATGTGAGGAGCTTAGTGAGAACCGAGAACTGAGAACTGAGGTGTGGCTGAGTCAGAAGGCCTAGACCTGAGAAGTCAGAAGATCGGAATGGCCCAAGGAGCGTGACAGCCAATGCTGCGGCAGCCAGGGCCAAGGAGCAGAGGGACAGTGATTTTCTGTCACAACTGCCCCTTCTGGTTGAACCACAGCCCTGCGCCCAGACCCCTGCCACTGTCACAGCTTCTGCCAGCTTCTGCAAAGTCTGCTCTGTACAGCACCTGGGAAAGGAAGGAGAAGCAATGCCACGTGCAGGGTGAGGGACAGAGGGGCTGGTGCAGTTCTTAGGGCTCTGTGAGCAGCAGAGGCATCTGTCTCCCAGAAGCCCTGGGAACCCTCATTCACCTGCTGAGTGCCCTCTGGCTAGGAAGAGACGCATGCTATTTGGGTAGTAAAAAAACAACTTTAGCTCATCAGCATTATCTCAGAATTGCACCAGTTTTATATCTTAGAACAAAACTAAGGTCCTTCAGCTTCATTTTTAGGCAACCTTGCACTTGCAGAATGAATCGTCATCTTTGAGGTACAAAGGCCTTGAGCTGGCTACTTATTTCTTTGTCTAAGCAGGACGGCCCATACATGTTCAGAGCGATACTTTAAATTTTGTTGTGGTTGAGCTAAAAATATCTGTAGGCTTCTGAACACTCACTGTCATTATTCATGCTAATGTTAACATATGCTAATGTGTTAACATAACAGTGTCATTTATGTCACAGTAACACTCAAGTTCTTGGTTCTCAAATTTTTTCCCACCAAGTCATATTGTGATTTTCTGCTCTGACCTACTTCCTTTTTTTTTTAACCTATCAAATTGCTAAATCTCAATAGATTCTTGGCTGGATTTCCACACAATAACTTTCCTTAGGCAGCCAGGGTGAGTGAACAAGTGATAATTCAACATAACCTGCTAAATGAAGGAATGGTAAGCGATACATACTGTAAAGAATTTAAAGGCATGGCATGCTTAGTTGTGATATCACTAGAAGTGTGCTGACCTATTAGATGGGAAGGAAACCTTTTCTACTGGTGTCAGTTCTGTGACCCATTTGAGGATCTGCTTGAGGATTTTTGAGACAGGGTCATGTTATGTAGCCCAGGCTGACTACAAATTCACAGAATCCTCCTGCCTCAGCCTCCTGAATGCTGAGATTACAGGCATGTGCTACTATACCTATTAACTTTTTGCTTTCAATTGAGTTTTTGAAAACTGTAATAGACTAAGTGAAACTTTGTGTCATCATTAGAAACAAACAAACAAACAAAAAAAACACTTCACAACAAATGAAAGTAACACAAAAATAAATTCATCAGAAAGAAAACAATGTAAGTGTATTGCAGCTGGTGGTGCTGCCCAGAAGCACTTTGAGTTTGGGGCCTATTTTTCAGTGGAAGAATCCAGGCAACACTAAAGACAGAGTAGTGGGCTGGGGACGTGGCTCAGCAGCACAGCGCCCGCCTGGCAAGCATGAGGCTCTGAGTTCGATTCCCAGTGCCAAAAAAGAAAATAATTTTTAAAAAGCCATTTAAAAATAAATAATAACAGAGTAGCACAGATATGAGGTCATAAGACAGTCATGAGTCTGAGAGAAAACTAAGAAAGAAGTCACTCTCTTACAGAGCAAGTTGGAGGTTTTTAATGTGACCCTGCCCTCTTTTGGAGGATGGGAGGAGGCTACATAGCTTCCCCGCTCTGCTCTCCACGAGGGCCCCATTTTACTCCCTGCTCCTGGCTCCATGCCTGTGATGCAGACAAACACAGCGGCTTGTCTTCCTGGATTTCCTGTAACACCCACAGATAGCACAGAACTTGAGGAAACCTCCCGATTTGTGGCTGCCTGACCAAGCAGTGTGGCTGTGCTGCTGGGCAGCTGGCAGGAGGTGATTTTGTAATGTTGAGAGCCCGGGTTTGGAATTTAACCAAGTGTGCACTTAGTTCATTTCTGTAGGTACTCGATGAGTTTGGAAGTCAGGAGGGGAAAAAACTGAGCACTGCTCCGGCAAACAGAACCCAAGGGTAGCCTGGATCCATACCATGGAGAGTTCCTGGGCATCCGTTACCAAAATGACAGTGTGCCAGATGCTCCTGGCCCTGGAGAAGCAAAGGGGAAGAGGAAGGGAGAAGAGGAAAAGAAGGGAGAAGGAGAAAGGAAACAAAAAATTAAAGGAAAGGCAAGGCCATGGTCAGGCCAAACCCCAGGGTCCTGGGAGCTGGGCCTGCCCCATGGGGTGCAGCTTTCCCAGTCATGGGGGAGAGCAGTGAAGACCAAAGATGGGGCAGATCCTGGTGGGGCAGCTCCAGGAAACAGCCAAGCCATGGAGGTGAGCACAAAGTTGCCAGCATGGCTTTGAAGCTGTGATTCTCCTGCCTCAGTCTCTAGAGCAGCGGTGGCAAAACTGAGCATGTGTGTCACGGCAGGCACGCACAGCCCTCTCTCTGGGCACGCAAGCCAAGTTCGTGAGTTTCTTCCAAACTAAAACCTCAGTCTTCAGGCGTGATTGCTGTGTTGGCACTTTGTGATAAATACTGTAAGCAGTTCTCAGGGGGGCAGTTTGGGCAGCGGGTCTCTATAAGATTCTCCATCACTGCTCTAGAATTAGGAGCAGGGATGACAGATGTGTGGCACTACATCCAGTTCTTTGTGCCTTTCTGATCTGCCCTGAGAAGTTGAATTCCTAAAGTAAAAGAATCCCCGGAGTGACCCACCACTCTAGGATTATTGTGGAAATTGGTGCTCACGGTCCACCTGCAATTTGACCTTCTAAAGTAAAATACAGCATCTGCAGAGCCACAAAACAAGACTCAAGAATGCAGCTCTAACACAGCAGGGGCAAAGGCCAGGTGGGAGGGAGAAGAGAAGTAAAGAAAAAACAAGAGGAATTCTTTAAGATGACAGAGCAGCAGTACTTAGCTGAAATAAAATAAAAGCCTCCTAGTCACTTTACATTTTCTAGTAACCACATAACAGAACTAAAAACAAACAGAAGAAATTAACCTTAATAATATATTTCATTTAGCTCAGTATGTTCAAAATATTATTTCAATGTCATAAATATAAAAATATTAAAGAACTAGTAAAATATTTATAAAATATTTTATGTTTGTTATATTTAGCCCTTGAAATTTGGTTGTTTTGTTTACACTAATAGCACATTTTCATTTGCATGCTCAGTGGCCACATACTAGATACAATTTTGCAGCCTTGGATACATGCTCTGAGTGTGGTTGGAAAGCCCTCTGTCCTGAAGGAGCTTGAACTGGTGGAAACTTCTGGAAAGGAAAACCACTTGATAGTATGTGTCAACAGCCTGTAAAAAGTGTTGAATTAGTAACTTCCTCTTCTAGAAATCGGCCTTTGGAAAAGAATAGGAGGCTCTGACAGGTTCTTTTCTTTTTTCCGCAAGAGTTCAGAGTTTGTAGCCTCCACAAGAGGCCATGAATGGATCAACAGAGAGAAGTAGATATAGTCACAGAATAGAGAATAGTCACAATAGATGCGAATGAAACACAAATACAACACAAATGAAATACATCACGGATATTAGGCTGAGAGAAACCAGGCACACACAAAAATGAAACATAGTATATAATTCTACACACAGGTTTTTAAAAATTATATCTACACCTTGGGTCCACTGTCTTCTAGGGCAGAGGATATATGGGAAGGGGGGAAATATTGGATGCAGAAAGGAACAGGGAAGGTTCTAGAAACAGAAATGGTCTATACCTTGAATAGAGTGATATCTGTCTCTATCTATCAAATCACGTCTATACTACAGGATTCTACATCCTTAGATTCAACCAACCATAGATCAAAAATATTTGGAAAAAAGTCTGAGCATGTATAAATTTTCTTATTCAAGTCATCAACCTGTGTATTTAAAATCTATAAATGTCTCATGAGTTATACTTCAGTGAAGTTGACTTTTTAAAAGTAGAAGCAAAATAGAGATAAGCTCAGATAAAAACTCAGACTTTGCTAGGATATTTACACTAACGTAGATATGGAATAGAACTTTTCAAGTAGAAGGAAAATGATTCCAAGACAAAAACAAAATGATGAACAACAGAAAGTGCTAAAACGTGCACAAATACAAATGTGTATTGACCGAACAAAACCTAACACCAAACAAAGCAAAGCAATATTAATCTAAAATGTGTAGAATTAACGTTCATGACAGCAGTACCACCGAAGGAAGAATAAAGTCCGTAGAGTTACTGTCCATCTCCTAGAGCAAAGTATGTTCAGATAGCAGGCAAAGGTGTGACTTTAAATTTTTGGGTGGTGGAAAACGAGGAAGAGACCTCTCTACATCCCCTGGCGGGCCTGGAATTCAGTTATTTTGCTTCAGCCTTCTACATAGCTGGGATTATTGGCCCACATCACCACACCCAGCTAAAAGTATCACTTTCTATTAGACATTTATATTAGGCTTTACTCTCTAAGATTAGCACTAAAGAGTACTAACAGAATGCAGAGCAACAGGAAGAGAGAATGGAATAATAAATAGGCTTATTTCTGAAAAAAAGGCAGACAGAAAAATAAAACAGGTGAAATACAAACAAAACAGCCAGTAGGTATAAACCAAACATATTTTTAAATAAATTAAATATAAATGGACTAAATACAT